CCCCAACCCCCCCCAAAAAAAAATTATGCTGTCCCCTTAATTTTTGTCCCTTACTTTCTTTTCTCCATTCAAATCTGCCTAGACAGTGAGCATCACATATAAGCTTTCGGCTAAAAAATATACTAAATTTATATGCAAAAATATAAAGACCCGATATAACAAGCACTGCATTTACAATGATGAACACGTTCTCCTTCCTGTAACGTGCCACATAGATAAAATATTTTTGTTTCCTTACTTTTAGCTTTTTTTTCCTTTGATGTGTTGGTTGTTCCTTTTTTGGTCAACCAATTGATAAAGAGACATGCAATTAATTTATTTCCTATTTAATTCAATCATATCAATTAGAACCTTTAAGTTTTATGTCCTTATTTTTAACTCTAGTCAAGTGAAAGTTCCTATATAAAAGTTTCTCATTAATAATTCTACAATCAATTTTCAGAAAAAAATTGAATTTCTCTCGATACTTCTCAGTAAATTTATTTCCTTATTCATTTAATAAAAATGTATTTTTTGTCCTCATCCATAACAGAGTTATAACATAAGCTTCCAAATATTAGGTGAAATAGTGAAGCCTCAACGATTTTAATTTGTTTTTGGACTTTTATCTCTATACGTTACAATCTCAAAAATTCTTAAAAGATGGGATACAGTAGGAATTTATGCTGCTAAAGCACTAGTACACAAATAACTACAATAAGTAGGTCAAGATGTAAATTTCAGATAACATGTGATAGATCGGTGCTATTGATATCCTCCCCAGTTTATGGTTGGAGATATAAGCCTTTTATAGTGAAAAATAAGTAAGCATCTTTATAGAGTTGATTTTAACAAAACAAGTTTGCCAACGGCTACACGCCTACTGAACTGATCACTTACAGGAAACAGAGATAATAATAACTCATAAGTTTTGCAATAAAAGCAGTTCCTAATGAAGCTACTTCAGAATGTTTTTTTATTAGAAAAGTGTTTCTTTCTAAGAAATTAGACATATTATCATAGTTCAACAACATGAATGCTTTGGTTTCTATAAATCTCGTTCTTCTCTCCACATGCATTTAGTGGTCTTCTAGGCCTTCAGAATTAAAAAGCACAATTCAAATTTCTCATCTTAAAAAGAAGAAATGCTCAAAAGATATATGCATCATGTACTTTTCCAGTTACTATGTTTCTCATCATCATCAAGTCACTAATGAACCTACTTCAGAATATTTTTTTATTAGAAAGGTGTTTCTTTCTAAGAAATTAGACATATATCATAGTTCAACAACATGAATGCTTTGATTTCTATAAATCTCGTTCTTCTCTCCGCATGCATTTAGTGGTCTTCTAGGCCTTCAGAATTAAAAATCACAATTCAAATTTCTCATCTTAAAAAGAAGAAATGCTCAAAAGATGTATGCATCATGTACTTTTCCAGTTATTATGTTTCTCATCATCATCAAGTCACCAATCATGTTAAATGATACATTGTCAAACTAAAGTCTCATTCGATGCTCTCTACCCACAAATGAAATAGATATGGAACTCTTGCAGATAAGAAAAGATTCGATCTAAGCAGATTCGGGCCTAAATGGAAGGGAAAAACTAACTACCAAAAATAGCAAGCGAATATTGACAAAAATCCAAAATTTCAAAGGCCTTAATATTTCATCTTCAGCCAACACTATGGAATAGAAAGTACTCCCAAAGTTTCATAACAAGTGTCTTAATTTCAATTTAGTCTGTTTCAAAAAGAATGCCACTTTCTCTATATACCAACTCTTTAATGCAAACATCCCGCATGACATGTTTACAAACGACAAGAGTCAAAGGGCATTTTGGTACATTAAACACATCTTTAGTTTGATAGCACAAGATTCAAAAGTTTACATTACTTTTACAAATTCTATATCCAGTCAAACTAAGACACATAAAATGAAACCGAGAGAATAACATAAAGGATATAAACAGAAAATATTGTTATAGACTATGTCCAATACAAGAAATGGAATCTTAATTTTTTGATCCACAACCAACTCCATGGGGGTCTTGATTATACCTTCATGACAAACTTGGGACAATACTATGCAGGATTTACAGGTAATTTGGCAAATTGGCTAAAAATTGCTTTTTGGAACAGTACCACACAGATGCGGTTCAAAGAAAATATGTTCCACCAACTTAAATCTAGGCCAGTTATCATTCTATGCTGTATATTTTGATCCATGTGTTCAAACTAATACCGGGTTTCATTTAGTTTAACATTTAGCTGCTAAACAATGACTACTGAAGACACTAATCTCCAAATGGAAGCAGATGATCTCTAAACAAACTATAAAACTAGGATGAAATCATGAAACTTAAACTAATCTAATCCAGATGAGAACCTACTTAATCACATTGGTTTGAGATACATCATCTTAAGTTTAAACGCCAATAGGAGACCACATGACCATAGCATTTAAAAAAATGTCTTTTCTCCCAAAAAGGGGATGATGAGAATGACACTAAAAACCTAATGTAATGAGTACTGGACCTCCAGTATAACAGTCGACTGGCTAAGTACATTGGAAAAACAAGAAAATCTTCGATAGAATTGGTATAAGATTATGAAAACAAGGGTGCAGAAAGTAGGACATGATGAATAGCCAAAGTTTTCTTGCCAAAAACTGCAACTTCTCCTAGTTAGTGTCACCTTTTCGATGCTACATTCAAACAATTTATTACAATTCAAAATGCGACAAAGTCTGCAGATATATCCTCTGTCCAAGGCTGTTCCTAACTCCAATACTCTACTCGCACTGTAACCAGAAGGACTAAAACAAACAACTCCATGAATCAACATGTTTTAGAATTGCTCAATCCCATGAGGAAGACCACATCACCCAAGGTGCACAATGGGTATCAGCATACATTTTTCTCTACACCATATCCAAAAGACTTACATAATGACATAAGCAAATAGTCCACATGCAAAAAAAAGTGATCTAGAAAAAATGATTCTATATGGCAAAATGTATAGTTGGTTGATTGAACCAACCATAATAAGATTGACAGTCTATGATTACTGGCCCAGTATATAACTTAAGCATTTTCTTTGATTTTTGTCTCCGTACTTCAAGATTCAATCAGTCAAATACACTTAAATCACACACTAGTTGTAGCTGGCTATATGAGTCAGGTACATCAGTTGCTCTTTTTTGCGACCAATTCATTCCAAACAACAATAACATTAACCACTATGCCTAAATCACAAGCTAAGGGTCGGCTATATGAATCCTTATCCATTTAGGTTCACCATTGCCAGAAGTTCTTTATATTTTCTACCGCCATTCAAATCTCGAACAAGATTCCATTATTTTTTCACTAAGTCTTCATGGAAACCAAGAAAATGCAAGTCTTTGGAGAAAACTACCTTCCATGTAATCTTAGGTCAACCTCATTCCCTTTTAACACTTTCAATCATCATGGTTTCACATCTATGGACCAACGCATCGGGAGGCATGACATAGGACATGACACATCTAGAGGTTGACATAGGACATGACGACGCCATCTCAATCAACCTTCTCGTATTGCGTCCTCTATGAGTGCTACTTGCACCTTCTGCATGATGTGATTATTTCTAATCTTGTCTAGTCTTGTCTGATCAACTATTTCGTTCCAATACTCTGAAGAATTTATCTTTAAGATTTATCTATAACAACTATCCAAACTCACCATAACTCCACAAGCTGATACTTAATAGTTGATGCAATTATGCGAAAACTAGGTTTGCTTATCCAAAAAAAAGGGGGTAGCACATCACAAAAATGTTTAGTCTCAAGCATGAGAGATCCATAAAAAATTTGGCTTTCCCTAAAGGCCTAAACCACACACAATTCTTGACAAATATTCAAGAATCTGATTTACACCTTCATCCAGCATATGCAATTATTAACTGGAAACAAGTATAGAAACACATACCCAACATTCAAGAAACAATCTTATCCATCAACAAGTTTCATTTTTTCCCGTAATATCCCAGAAAATTAGAAAAAGAAAGACTTGCCTGAAATTGACATTTCTTTAACTGGAGAAGCAGAACGAAAACTTTTCTGCGAATTTAGTTTCTTCTTGGACCCCATTTCTGCTAAATGTTTCAGTTAGACTCCCTCCTTTATCATCCAACAACAACTACTGTTGGATTAACTTGGAAAATTGACAGATTCGATTTGTACTTGGAAAATTGACAGATTCGATTTGTAGAAGAGATCTGAGGATTGTAAGCAAGAAAATCCAACTGGGTTTTGCGTCAGATCCACTCTGGGGTCGTATTCTCAACAATGGAGGCGACCCACATCACTGGGCTACAGAAATATACTATATAGATATATCAGATTTAAATAAATAAACGAATAAATAAAGTTGGTAAATGCTTTACTATAATTAGCCCCAATATTAAAGGGGGGAATCAATTAAAAGTATCGATTCCAAAAATCGAATTAAAAATGTTGACATTTGACATGTTTTGGGATATGATAGTTCCTTTTTCTCGCATAAAACAAAAGAATAATTTTGTTGATAATATAAACGCTTTTTTTTTTCCAGAAATAAACTAAATAATGCAAGATGAGGAGAAGCCTCAAAATATTGGAGCTAATGATTAATTGTTGAGATATAAGACCAAAAGAGTGACATTACTATTTAAAAGAGTAGTACTAAAGCATACATTTTTTCCAAACCATACTTAGAAGTTTAAGAATTTGCTTAACTCATTTTATTATATTCATGCAACTTTATTCTCCATTTTATAATTAAAAAAACTAATAGTAATCGCAAATTACTTACATTTTTCCTTATAAGATGTGATGGCATTATATTCCTTTTAAGATTCGCATCAGCTCTCTCACATGATGTGCCTTGTAATGTCCTCTCTTCTTTTTTCTCTTTCTTTTTGGAATAAATAATACTAGTATATGATAGTTTAATAATTGCGGAGCAAGAACAATATTAGTGTACCTGTCAACAACGCAACGAAAGAATTGTTAAATTCACCACCAAAATAATGGCCCAAGTCGTATTCTGAATCTCCAGGAAACGGAGTTTTTGTTCACAAACTACATGTCTAAAGTTTACTCTGTTTTTCTTTTTTTTGCCGGGGAGAATTTCTGTACCGAAGAGAAATATATAGAGAAGAGAGATGAGGAGAACTACCGATCACTTTATGTTTTCACGTTGCCACTTCTTTTTAACGTGTGACACCTCTCCTATCCTTATGAGAGTTAATTAACTTCCCTGATAATATTAACTTCCATCAACCTTATCTCTTATAAGTGGGCTGGGTCAGTCCACATGGGTGACCCATAACTTAAACCCGATATCCTATATCTCCCACTTCGCACATGGTGGACTAGATCCAAGCTAGTACAATGGCAATAATACATGTAAGTCATGCTAGCAAATAGTTCGTACGACCAGCGAGCATTAAGAGCTATAATATTCTTAAACCCTTGAAGGTTTCTTAACAGCTCCATGTAGAAATTCAATCACATGCGAAAGTGATTCACTACTACCATGAGGATCTTATTATTACTCGTAATACCCAGACATCATTCGCTATTCCAGTAGCTACGTATTTGATCACTTATCCTCGAAAGAGGCAAAATCGAGTTCTCACATAACATTGTATCCACAATTACACCCAATACCCTAATGGTAAGTGTAATGGCTGACCTATGAATACAAGTTAAATTACTAAATTTTAGTCGTCTTCCTTTTCTACTCGAATCTTTCCATTCCAAATCAGCTGCTTTCCTAGACATCACTGCATTGCCGAATCACTCATGGCTATTAGTGACATGCTAAAATAGCAACATTGATTGGTACTTCAAGAGACAGTAAAAGGTCAAAGGGTATTTCAATAAAAGTTAATAAAACTTCTTTAGGATATCACACAATGAAGAAGCAGAAATTCATTCTTTCATTATCCCAACGATAACACATGTGGTATGAAATACATGTTACGGTGTTCTCACTTTATATTGGCGTGTGTGTCTTATTCTTTTAATCATTCAATGTCATACAGATCTTGGTCTAGACACCTCTAATTGTCTAATCCCGAGTTTCTCACTTCAATAATCCTCAAATCCAACTTTTTGGAGAAACTCGCATCTGGCTTACAAAACAAGTCATAATTGAATATTAAAATTCATAAGCCTGACTAGTTGTCAAACCGACCTTAATAAGTAAATATAACCTCGCATTATTCAAGGTTCTATAAGGTCTCATCTCTTCACGATTCTTAATGTAAGAAGCGATCGTTCATGTGAGAGAGTCAATCTCACGACTTGTTCAATACACTCTTCATCAATAAAACATCACCACATGCATACTAGATATGAACATAAATTCAAAAGTCAAATATTGATGAGCATATTATAATAATCAAGTCATTTTATAATATATAAAAAGGGTCATATCCTTCGCAAACCTAGAGCCATAACATGTTTCTCAAACAGGTCTCTAGATATTGCCTTTGTAAAAGAATCAGCTATCATATTTTGCATAGGAATGTACTGTAAACTTATCTCTCCGCTTGCTACCATGTCTCTCACAAAGTTATACTTGATGTCAATGTGTTTGGTCTTGATATGATATTTAGGATCTTTTGTGTACGCAATAGCCGCTTGACTATCACAATATAGAGTCATGAGACCCTGAGAGTTCTTTGTAATAATATCCAAATGTTCAAATAATCTCTTCAACCAAATAGCTTCTTGTACTGCAGATGCATTAGCCACGAACTCAACTTCCATCGTAGAAAGGACAGTACAAGTTTGTTTCTTACTTTTCCATGAAATAGCTCCACTGTTAAGTAAGAAAGCATAACCGGATGTTGATTTTCGATCATTCCAATCACCAACCCAATCAACATCTGTATATCATCTCAAGTATAAATCATTTCCACTATAACATAGTGAATAATCTGCAGTTCCCTTCAGGTATCTAAAAATTCTCTTCACAACTTTCAATGATCTCTTCCAGGATTGGATTGATACCTGCTAACCAGACCTATGACATAACAAATGACTGGGCGAGTACACATCATAGCGTACATCAAGCTCCCAACTGCACTTGAATACGGAACTCGAGATATGTCTTCCTTTTCATTTTTAGTCTTGGGACACATTTCAAGGCTTAAAGTTTCACCTCTCGCTATAGGAGTATCCATGGATTTGCAACTATTCATGCGAAAACGCTCCAAAATTTTCTTTATATAAGTTTCTTGAGATAGACTTAATAACTTTTTGGAACAGTCTCTTTGGATCTTAACTTCAAGGATATAGTCTACCTCACTCAAATATTTTATGTCAAATTACTTTGAAAGCCATGACTTGATAGTTTTCAAATACTCCAAATTATTTCTGGTCAATAAAATATCATTCACGTAAAGAGAAAGAATTATAAACATTCCATTGGACTTCTTCACATAAATGCAATGGTCTTCACTGATCATGGTGAAATTATATGAGATCACCTCCTTGTGAAATCTCAAATACCATTTCCTTGAAGATTGCTTCAGGCCATAAATATATCTTTTCAATTTACATGCCTTATTTTCTTGTCCTTTAACGATAAAGCCTATAGGTTGTTCCATGTTGATTTCTTCATTTAGTTCTTCATTGAGAAAAGCTATCTTCACGTCCATTTGATGTAATTCCAAATCCAAATGTACAATAATAGCCAAAAGTAAGTGAGTTGAGATAAATTTCACAACTAGTGAAAATATTTCCCCATAATCTATTCCAACTTCTTGAGTAAAGCCTTTTGCCACCAATCGTGCCTTCTATCATACTATTGACCCATCTGCTTTGCGTTTAACTTTGAGAACCCATTTGTTCCTAATGGCTTTACGCCCAGGAAGAAGGTCAACTAAATCCCATACTTTGTTGCTTTTCATGGACTCTAATTCTTCTTTTATTGCTTTCATCCACTCATCTTTTTCGGGGCTTGATAAACCCTCAATCACAGACTTTGGCTCATCCATTTCTGTGGGAGATACCAAGAAAACATAATCTTCAATCTCATAAGTATGTTTGGGCATATTTTTCCTGGTACTCTTTCGTAGTTGAAATTCAGGTTCTTTAGAAGAATTTTGGGATTGTGAGTTCCCACTCCTACTCGGATAAAGAATAAGATCTTGATCATATTGATTACCAATTGTTTCAGAAAACACTTGCTGATTATCTGAGTTCAACATTTCATAAAAAGGCTTTCTATTCTTTACCTCGCCCTTCTTTGGAAAATTATTTTCCAAAAATGTGACATGTATCTCGTGATTCAATCTCAATAACACTTCCATCTTCTAATTCACCAATGAACACATACCCTTTGGAGTGTTCTGAATATCTTATAAAGATACATTTCTTACCTTTTGGACCTAATTTACAAAACTTGGTAAAAGAATTTTTTACATATGCAGCACAACCCCAAGGTCGTAAATCATTTAAGTATTGTTTATGACCAGTCCATAGCTCATAACGAGTGGAAGAAACTAATTTAGAAGGCACTTTGTCCAATATGTAGGTTGCAGTCAATAATGTATCTCTCCAAAAGCACGGTATAGGTTCATTATAATATTTAAGACATGCCTGTGAAATTTGGTGAGAAACGGAGTTGGTTTGGTGTGATTCGGATATCTGGTTGAGAAAATAAAAATTTCAAAGTGTTCTTGAGAATTTCATTTGATTTGGTGCTAAATTCGTGGTTCTAGGCGTTATTTTGATGATATGATCGCGCGAACAAGTTTGTATGATGTTTTAAGACTTGTGTGCATGTTTGGTTTGGAGCCCCGAGGGCTCAGGTGAGTTTCAAATAGGTTACAGAGTGATTTGAACTTGGAAAAAATTTACTGGTGTAACTGAGTAGGTTGCAGGCCTCTAATCTCGCATTTACGAGCTAATTCTTGCATTTGCGAGGAGAAGCTGGGCCAACAGTGTTCGCAATTGCGAACTTTCCTTCGCATTTACGAAAGGAGTCTGGGAATGACAGGGATCGCAATTGCGATCAATTGGTCGCAATTGCGGAAGGTCAGGCTCGCATTTGCAAGACTTTCTTTGTATTTGCGATGAAATCAGGAATAGGGAGACCTTCGCATTTGTGATAGGTTCTTCACATTTGCGGGGCTCGCATTTGCGAACCCCACGTCGCAAATGCGACACCTGCAACTGATTAAAATGACTTTTGGACGAGATTTTTCATTCATTCTTCAAATTTTCAAAACCTAAAACACAATAGGCGATTTTCCAAAGACTTCTTCTTCCCCAAATCATGAGTAAGTTATTCTTAACTAGTTTCTTTCAATTTTTCACTTTATTTTTACAAGA